TTACAATCTCTGGGGAAAGGGCAGACGGACACACATCTAATCCCCTTTTGAAGGCTTCTACAGACACATTCCACTAAATCCAGATGTAAACTACTCCGTTAGTAAAAAATGCCCTGATGTCAAAGCAAGCTCTATGATGGTCGTGCTGACTTCCTTGAGGTAGTACTTAGCAACGTGCGTAGCCTAAGGAACAAGGTGCACGAGTTGAGTCTACTTGTAGGCAAACCTCGTCCCGAGACTTGCTTTCGATGAAACGTGGTTGTTGCCGGCTATCACGGACGGAGAGGTATGTTCACCTAGCTACAAGCTGCTTAGAATTTATCGCTGCGTTGTTCGCCAAAGCGGAGGCGTTCAAGTTCAAGCGGGACTGGAACGACAGGATGATCCCGTGAGTGTTCCTTCTTCGGCAGGTCGTTAAACCAGGAGTTGGCGAACTTTGAAATAATGATGGACCTAAAACAAAGATCGAATAACACCCTGTACTGTATGTGAGCTGTCACTAACACGTGTTGGGCACCTGCACATTCCGGTCATCGGATCAGACTGTTGAAGCCCTATCGGCTGTTTTGCGCACTTCCTCTACCCAGTTTACAGTTGTAGTGATATACAGGAGACCTGGAAGTTCTTCCAGGGGATAATTGACTTTATTCGCACTCAGTCAGCGAATAAGTTTACTTCTATGGAACTGCAACCTCCCGGAAGTCTGTGGGGCAGATCCTTCTTGCAATTCAGAGTCAGGAACATTCAGTGCAGACTTTCTTGAGCTGACCCGGTGGCCATACTGCGAATAGGGACCTCCTGCGCGTTCTGTTCTCCTGAGACAGGTCATTGGATCATTGGATCAAGTGATTATGTCTAACTCACAATGTTTGCATTGTGCGAAAGTGGTGACTAAGGGTATCCAGTGCATGGCCTGCAAACTCTGGGCATGTGGCCAAAAGCGTTGCTCGCAACTTACTGAACCGCTCTTCAAGACCTATGCTGAGCACAAGGGTTTGCTGTGGATTTGTCGATATTGCATCGATGCTGCTGCGTTGGCAAGACGTCCGCCACATCAACATCCTGAAAGACGTTCTTCTGCTCCTTCTGCTAGGCGTGCCAGGAAGCGGAGCAACACATCTTCCAGCGACGCTCCAAAGGTAGCGGCCACCCCCGCCCCGTCTACTTCTCATTCGGACCCATTGATACACATCCGGCCTGTTGAGCCTACGACGAAGTCATATGCGGACGTAGTGAAGGAGAAAGCGACTTTGGCCTTGTGTGGCCAAGGTTCAGCCACACGTGTCACTAAGGCTTAGACTAAGTCTTTGAATAAACCTGAGCTCCCATCTTCTCAGTCACAAATAAAGATAATTCTCAACAGAATCTCTGAGCTGGAAAAGTGATAAAGGAAAATCTAGCAGCTCGTAAGCCACCAATTCCAGAGCTCATTCAGCCATCTAGTGACCGCTGTCTCATCATCGTGAACGCGGCGGAATCGGACAAGGCTACCTCGGCGGAGCGAATAATGGATGATCAATTACTGCTCGAGCGGATGAGTTCTCTACTGTTTTATGCAGGCGAACAGGGAATAAACATTGTCTCTGCCTTCCGCCTCGGTAAGAAGCGGGAAAATTCCTCCAAGGTTCGACCCCTCAAGATTGTATGCGGAAACGAAGAGTGCGCGCGCACCCTTCGACGGACTCCACGTCTCAAAGGCGAACCTTCCTACGTGTTACGAGACCTCTCTCCCGAGGACCGAAGTAAAATGAAGGCTGTAGAGGAGCTCCGAACGCGCCGGGCGAGTGGTGAAACCGACCTACAAATCGTGGATTTTTGCGTAGTTCGGAAGAGCATGAGTGCGCTGAAAACCGATTCTTGTCGCCCCCAGACAGTAAAGCATAAAACGGACTACGCGTGCTATCTGCCAACGTACGCAGTCTAAGGAATAAACTGGACGTAATTCAGTTGCTTACTTCGGAGACTCGTCCAGACCTGATGGCCTTCACCGAAACCTGGCTATTCTCAGATATCACAGACTCGGAAGTGTCTATCCCTGGATATCACCACTCCCGGTCCGACCGCCACGGCGTGAGGTCAGGTGGTGGAGTAATCTTCTACTGGAAGACGGATCTCAAATACATCTAGTTGAAGCAATCAGTGACCAGGACGACAATTTCGAAGCCCTCTGGTGCTGTGTTCATGACGGATACAGACCTCTCTTAGTCGGTGTCGTCTACAGAGCGCCATCGGGTCCCGGAGTGCGCTTGTTGGGCTCGATAAGAAGGTATGGTGGGCACAAAGACTGTTTAATATTGGGGATTTCAGTGCACCGGATATCGATTGGGACCTACTTCTTTGTGATCGCCGATCTGACTCCTTCGACGCCACACTGCTTAAAACCGCTCTCGATTGCAGCCCCGTTCAACATGTCTTGATGCGTACTCATATTTTCCCAGACCAGACCCCGCACATCTTGGATCTCGTGCTCTCCCCGGCAGATACGGATGTCACGAACCTAACCGTTCTTCAACCCATAAGCAAGAGCGATCATTGTGTTGTTTCATTCCACTGGACTCGCCGTCTCACGATCCATAGCCACGGTGGTCACCGTCGAAACTTTTGGCGTGCCGATCCACTCCGTCTGAAAACGGCCGCAAGCGCTACGGATTGGGGTATCCCTGAACACATTCACCTCGATGACGCATGGAACCTTGTACTCTCCAAAATGACGTCGTTAACTGAGCAGGTCGTTCCTTCCTCCCATCGAAAGCCCTTCGCTAGAGGTCCACCTTGGATGGATAGAGAGTTGGGGTCAAACATGAATAGAAGGCGCAAATTATGGGACCGCTATAGGCAATCTCATTCAGAACTCGACTTTTCTCCCTACAAGACAGTCAGAAATGTTTGTGTTGCAATGAAGCGCCAGAAACGCCAACAATACGAACTATCCTTGGCAAAACACTCCAGCATCGCGCCTAAAATGCTCTACTCTTATTTGAAAAGAAGCACTAGAGCTGGTAATGGCATCCCTGCTTTGTGTTCCTGTGATCATCAAGCCTTACTTCAAGAGGACGCTGAGAAAGCCAGTCACTTAGCTAAGAAATACGCTTCAGTTTACGCGAAAGAAACGCCATTTAGTGACAGAGCCGTCTCCACATTGCTATCTTCGTTGGCCCAAGTAGATATTAACACTGATTCTGTGATGAAACTTCTTTTTCAGTTAGATCCGTATAGCTCATCCGGCCCTGATGGATTGCATCCTTCGTTCCTCAGGACTGTGGCGAAATACATAGCTTCACCCATATGTCAAGTCTTTCGTCGCTCACTAGAAGCTGGCCGCCTTCCTTCAGCTTGGAAAGTGGGTATGGTCAAACTCATTTACAAAGGAGGAAGTCGACATGATCCGGCCAATTATCGTCCAATCTGTTTGACGTCAATAGTGTGTAAAGTTATGGAACGGATTCTAAAACAAGCTGCTGCTCTTCATCTTAAGGGAGAGAATGTCATTTCTTCTGCCCAGCATGGGTTCAGAAAAGCACGCTCCTGTACCTCGAACTTGCTCGTTGCTAAGGCGACCTGGGCAAGGTCGCTAGACTCCGGCAACTGCTTGGAGGTTGTGTGTTGACTTCAGCAAAGCTATTGACAAAGTCCCGCACGAACGGCTCCTGTTTAAGCTCCAAGGAATCGGTATTTCTGGGAACCTTCTGTCTTGGATCTCCGACGTCCTAAACGACCGCTCTATGCAAGTGAAGTTGAAGGAGACATTTTCTGCTCCTGTTCTCATGACGAGCGGGGTCCCACAGGGCTCTGTCCTCGGTCCCGTACTTTTCAATATTCTCATCAACGACTTACCATCCACTGTTCAGACGGATTGCCTAATCTACGCTGACGACCTAAAGCTATGGATGGAAGTATCCAGCCTTGAATACGCCGACCGATTACAAACTACGCTCGATCTACTCCATGACTGGTCGATTAAATGGCAGTTGCCCGTAAATCGTGATAAATGCCCTGTTCTTTCCGTTGGCTTATCAAACCCATTTGGAACTTGGTGGTTCCTTGCTCAGAAGCGCAACCCAAGAGAGGGACCTTGAAGTGATAGTGTCATCAGACCTCAAATCTATTTAAAACAACCAGAAGAGGGTCGCCGCGGCCTACAGGATGTTCCATTCTATACGTAGAGAGCTTTCTCTCTGGACCCCGGGACTTTTCCGACTCATCTTTGGTTTGCATGTACCCCCTATTCTCGAATACGGGCTACCCGCTGCCTACCCTCTCACCAAATCCGAATGTGTTATGATAGAGCAGGTTCAACGGCGTGGATCCAAATCCGTCCCTGAGTTGTGAGACCTGTCGTATCTACACCGACTTCAAAGACTAAACTTGTTCTCTCTAGGTTACCGCCGTCACCGAGGAGATTTGATATTCACCCGACGCTTCCTCACAGCAGAACTGAGTTGCGCGTTACAGGACTTCTTTCAACTCAACACAGAGTTTTCGACACGAGGCCACCGCATGAAACTGTTCAAACCGAGGAATCTCCGTGTGCGGCTCAATTTGGCCCTATCAACTCGCGTGGTAAATGATTGGAACCGGTTGCCGGATCCTGTTGTTGATGCTGAGACAGAGGAACGTTTCAAACAACTATTAGATTCTCACCCGAGCGCGCTGGGGTTCTGCTGCCTCTAAAGCAGCTACAGTGGCTGTGACGAAGTCGCAGCACCGTTACCCCGCAAAACCTAGTGCGCAATAAATAGTTTATGGTCATTTTATGGCATTATTCCCGGCTATCTTTCTGCCTTTGCAGTTTTATTTAAATCTGTGCAAATGTGATATTGCAATTGTTTGAATGTGTCGGAAACCAGATACGCGGTAGGAACAGTATTTTCGAATCCGTACGCCATGGAGTCTGATTTCCGGAGAATCTTCCTTGGGCGTTCTTTTGACAGTTTTGACGAGTTTAATAGTTTGTTTTCAGACTTTATGCTTCTTCATTACGTCAATTTCGTACGCTACAGCAGCAGAAAGTGTAACCTGTCACGGGTGAAGTACGACAGGGTCATTTATCGATGTGTCCGCTGCGCACGTCGGAAGTCAAAAAGTACAGGAGTGAGACGTGTTTAGTAGGATTTCGCTTCTATTATTCTAAATCTTTCAGCTCACGTGATACTAACTGCCAAGCTCGCGTTAACCTCATTAGAACGGGACGCAAGCTGAAAGTCACAACGTTCGATCTGTCTCACAATCACCCAGTTAATCGCCTTCTTTTTGAGCGACACCCCATCAATCGCCGTCTGACGGACGATGAGTTCACTCAGTCCGTGGACCTTTTCCGCTACAACACCCCAACAAGCGACATCAAGCAGTTCGTCGAGGTTCGATTCGGAAAGCATATTACCAGCGATGATGTCCGCAATGTTCGTCGTAAACTGAGACCTGGCGTTGAGTGTAAGCTTATTTTGATAGTTTTTACTTCCTGCAGTAAAATTGCATCAGGTTATCAAGTCTATGGAAGAAGACGGAGTTGCGCGAATTATTTCTGAGGAAGGCTTGTGCACACACGTATTATTCGCTCGGCATCAACAAATAGAACTTTTCCGCCGATTCTCGCATGTCGTTTGTGTAGACGCTACTCATGGTACTAACCGTTTGAAGTAAGAATTGATAGCGGCCTTACTTGTTGCTTGCAGCTTCAAACTATACCAGTTTTTAATAACTGACGGCATGGGGTACGGCCGGCCAATATTTTATGCGTTTCTGCGTCGGGAAGATTACGCATCATTGCTTACGTTGTTCGAAGCGTTTCGGGATATCATGGGTCATGATATTCCCGTCCGCACAATAATGATGGACAAAATGGCCGCTCAAATACGTGCGGCGCGCGCGGTTTTTCAATGCGACATTTTGTTGTGTTACTTCCACATCCGCCAGGCCATCAGGAAGCATGTAAGTGATAAATCTTCGTTACATTCTGTAGACAAACATTAACCGGTCGCGTTATCTGTTTCATCGCATGGCAACTTCTGACACGGAGACTGAGTATAATCTCTTTATATATGTAATATTCTTGTTTTAGATTTCAACAAGATTTGAAGCTCCTTCAAAGAACAGACCCCCACTTTGTGCGCTACCTTACGTTGTACTGGTTGTACATAAAACGCTCGTGGGCGAAACACGCCCAAGCTGGACTGGTGCATTTTGGCAATACAACGAACAACCGAGTTGAGAATGCCAACTTGCGATTGAAGAAAGTTACCCATGCATCGGATGGCCTTGTTGCAGCCGTTCGCAAAGTCTGGGCGCATTCGGAAGTTCTCCTGAAAGAGTCCCAGATGCATGCCGCGTTTTTCTGTGACAGGCGTCAGCTACTAGAAGGCAGCGCATATGTTCATCGCGTAGTTTGCCTCTTAACTACGTACGCATGCAACTTAGTGATGCGCCATTTAGCACAACCCATGTTACAAGCAGTTTACTCGGACCTTGGAGATGGAGTGGTATGTGAATAAAAATTTCTGACGCTTCCATAGTTTGAGATATCGCACCAGGGAAACCGCTTCACCATCGATTGCTCCTTGGGAACATGTACCTGTCCTTTTTATGAAACCATGTGGCTTCCGTGTGTGCATTTAATGACGGCATACAAGCAGCACGCGTACCCGACAAGTAAGCCGTTTCTGATATGTGCATCCATTTACAGGCCAAATACCTATTTGCATCCGCTGGCTGGCGGACTACAACCTACCCACAGAGTCCATGCCGTTGCGGACGTTGAAAGTCCCCGTTACGAAACCATCCACGTCTAAAATTGCACATCTTGTACATCGTCTGAGAAGTGCTGAAGAGGTTAATCCATCCGGATTTTCGGAACTGTATCAAGAGCTATTGCGAAGGACTAACGAAGTAATTGGTGATTCATCAGACTTTCAACGTGCAAAGAAACAACCGCGTTGGCCGAAAATTATGGCGCCCACAGATTTGTGTTTCACATGCAGCAAGCCTGTTGTGATTGACGCAGTTCGCTGTGCACACAATCGGTTACTTTACCATCGAAAGTGTTTGCGTGTGCAATCAGGAGCCCGTTGTACAATTTGTGTCAACGCTTCACAAACGGTATCTGTGCCCATGATGGCAGTGCAATGCTGTACTACCGGTAAGAAAGCAACTTTTTACTTCGATATTTAGCTGTTGGCCGTTCACCCTCACCGGATTTCACAGTTGCCTCTACCCCATCAACCTGCCCCGCTTACGAAGGTAAGCGACAGCTTAGTATAACTATTTCCTGCGCAGGCAGTCAGGATGAGATTACCGCCGATCCGAGTACAAGTCAACAAACCGTACCCCATATTGCACGTGCACTTGGTACTGGTGATCTATTTCCTTACCTTTCATCGATAGCTTGTCGAAAGGGAGCCGTGGAGTTCCCCTCAAACAGAGGTATTGTGCAGAATAGAGTGCCAAAGTAAGCTATTCGGTGCAATTTAAACTCCCATTTTCACTTCATTGTAGCGTCGACATGGATGCCAGCCCAGTAAAGAAAACGCAAAGGAAAAAGCTTGTTCAGATAAAAACTCTCATTCAATTACCCGACAGTAGGCTATATGTTCGCACTACTATTATATTTTAGCCGATGAATACGACTTTGTGTAATGATACCTTGCATGGGACATGCGCGTCCAAGGCACGAATATAGTGAACAACGCTGAACCTTCTCTCGCTGCCTTTTGTTAAATACAATGCACAGTTTTTATATCGGTTTCTGCGCTCATTTGGGATTACAGCATTTTAAACAATGAACTGGACTAGCGGCACGTTTGCTGCCAGTGTAATAGGACCCAGGTGGGTTGTCATAGCACACGGCTCGAAGTCTCGTGGTCGTTGTATATAGGCTCCATCAGTGGCACATTTGGTGTCAACGTAATAGGACCCAGTTGGGTTGTAATAGCATACGGCTCGAAGTCTCGTGGTCGTTGTATATAGGCTCCATCAGTGGCACATTTGGTGCCGATGTACTAGGACCCAAGTGCGTTGTAATATCATTTGACTCCGAGGGTTGTGCTTGTAGTATACAGGCTCCGACAGTAGCGCACTCACGATAATGCTGTGGTAGCATCAGATAATGCATACTGTTGGCTGAAAGTCCTCCTAATTAAGTTTCGTTTGGACGAGAATTGGTAATTCAAAATCAATTTAGGGTTTGGGTTTGCGGCTACTGCATTGCGTAATTATAATTAATATGTGGCTTTCCGCTTCGTGTTTACGATATTTTTACCATGAAATTTTCGTTGCTGAAGTTCAAGGGGCGTTGGAAGATATACTGGGTGACCAAAAGGTCGTCCATAAGGTGTACATTTGCACTGCTGAGGGCCAAAAGTCTGGTCATTTAGGGAGTTACAACACTCACACGACGGCACACGCTTTCGCTGCTCGCGCTGAAGGGATGCATATTCCGTCAACGTTACGCGCTAATCGAGTACAGACTGGTAAGTACGTACTACCACAGTGACGAATTATTCGTCACCCATGGCGCGCTAAAAGTCACTTGTGCTGACCGAAAGTACGGTTAAAAAGAAGGATTTAACGCACTAAACAGCGCCGATAATTATTTAGAACATTAGTTAACAATATCCATGGACATATAAAGACATTTATCTTTATCTCCTTTTGCTTCTCCGCGAGTGGCCAAAAGCACGCTTCAGTGGGAGGGCTTGCTGTACATATGTTTGGATAAAATGCTAATTCATAGCTACAATAATGCTGCATAAGATTCCTATGATTTTACAAAATCTTCGCTGTTAAAGAAGCCACTTAATTATGTCTGCTATGATGTATCCACTGCTATGAAACTCACAAAAACCCAAGTGTTACTTATTTCATTATATTAATAATGCGTTTCACATTAAAATTCCGAGGCTAAAAATATCGGCACAATAGGAGACTAATTAAATAGTCCAGGACGAAACTAAAAGTGGACGGCAGGAATTTTTAATAAATGGGCTCCGAAACGGTATGCTTATCTTTTATACCTTGTAGTGAATGATTTCTACTTTAGTTACCAATATTGCATTACTGTTACGCATATTTAAGGCAAATATAGCTGCATGCATTACACACTTCGATGTTTCCCCATCGATACGTAGACGCATAGTAACGCCAGTTGGATATTAGCAATTTTGCAACACAGCGTGCCCAGCTGATTGAGTGGACACCAGTTTGCATTCATTTCAAAACCGTTTTGCTGCACATCTCGTCTGTGTTCTGTTTTGCGTTTAACAACATCTAGACAGGACGCCGAGAAGACGCATAAAGATAACCCACGGACTATTAACGGACGCTCGTGACAACAAGCTTGTCACAAAAGAAAGCTTTTACGGTATAAGTTGCGGAAATCCAATGTTTTTAACGGACTTCCAAGACTGCGAATTAGTTAAATGCAGCATCCATGAAAACAGGCGACCTAATTTTGACTTTTAGCATTACAATGCGCTCACTGTGCAATATTGGACATAAGGGTGTGGAAATTTCTTTGTCTAATTAATTTACCAAATTTACAGCATTTGGTTAACCGTATTGCCAAGCATTCGAATCGGCGGCAAACGGTTGATAGCTTTTTAGCACACTAAAACACAGTTTTAAGGTTACACCAGATTAGAATGTCAGAGTCTAGAGGTCAATTGTTTCACTCCCGTCCGACCAATCAACAAACGTCACCATCTTTAAAGTACCCTGCTAGGTCTGCGACTACCGGGCAGCCTTTGAAGGCACCAACAGACCGCTGTTGGAGAGAGTCAGATTAATCGAAAACAGCTGATCGTAATTTGGCAGTGGTACTGTTTGCTGTACTGTCTACTAAGGAGGAATGTTAACTATGTTGTTAAGCCTTGCAAATGAGTTATTAAATATTTACGCTCATTAATTCCCCTTACAAACCCACTCATTAAGACCAAATTTAATGTCACTGTTGTGTGAGTACTACGCGGTAACTCGATTTTCTGGCGTGCCATACTGATGGAGATTTTCAGCTGAAATAACGTAAAAAACAGTGCTTGAATAAACACTTGAAACGCAATTTGACTACTGTCAAATTTTCTCTGATCCAAGATAGTTTGGATCGATTACACTGGTACTGGCCAAAGCGTCTTTGGCGCTTACTGCTAATTTTTCCGGTTGTTCCCAGTTTTAATCCCGTTTTGCACCCTGTTTTTGCCTTTTTATTGCGATCGTTTTCCCATTGTATACGTGTTGTAATTCGACTGTTTTCCACATGAACATAGATGTCTCGCTAAACACCGAGACGGATGGACCTATTGGGTCCTTGTTTGATGAGTCTACTGCAGCTTGTGTGCATGTTAACTGTTCAGAGCCAGTACCAGATATATCTGGCGGTATGCAGTGTGAAGACTGCTGCCGCTGGTATCACGAAAGCTGTACCGGCCTACAAGTTGACCAGTACAAAATGCTATCATCAAGCGCTCACTTTCTTTTCAGCTGTGCTGAATGCTGCGCTCAAAGATCGACGCGCCCGGCTGTCACCCGTGCTAAACTTTCTACGCTGGCTTCACGGTTGGCAGACGTTGAAGTGACGATAGCTAAACTCGCCTCTGTTGCGTCGCTCGATACGAAAATAGATTTGATTTTAAATCTCTGAATATTTCGTTTGAAGACACTGCAATAGACGGCAACATTGCTGACCATCCATCCACTGGAGCCTGTCACCCGGTCATAACGTGGCATATCCTACCGGCCAGTCCAGGTAGCATTGCTGGCTGTCCTCATAAGCCGATCAAAGTGAAGAAAAATAAGGTGCGGG